AAATATAAAGAAAAAATTTACAGGTATGTAATAACGCACAATGATTGTTTGCAAAAAAATAAATCAACGCCATTTTTATTAATGAAAAAAAAATATATAAAAAAAATCAACGGGAATTTGAAGGAGCACTGACTATATTCAAATAGTATTTGCTTTAAAACTCCATACCTTAAATTGTTCTAAAAATTCAAAGTAAAAAATTAGAAATATAGACGGAAAATTGTGGAATTTTTCTATATGTTGTATATAGTTTGAGTCCTCGATTTTTTTGGATTTAGTTAAAGCAATAAAAAATTTTTACTCGAAAAATATTGCGAATATTAAAAAAAATCACTTTTTGAGACACAGTATTTGTCTATAACTCGAGTTGAAGTTTTTCAAATAATGAAGATTCATTGTTGCCTTTAGTTTCATCACTCCCGTATAACTAGTTAAATAAAAAGTTCTTAAAAACAATGTTAATTCTTATTGAAATAACTAAAAAAAGGAAAATAAAAAAACTATAGTTTTGATTAAAATAAATAAAAAAATAACAAAACTATGGTTTTCGTTAAAATAATTATAAAAAAGTTATTGGTAGATATTTCCCAGATTTGGTAGATTTTTTTCAAGTGGATGGTAAATATTTTTTTTTCGTCAGTGGCAACCCTGCTCATCAGTTCGATGTTTTGAGTTCCTATAAAATAATAGGGCCGTTTAGGACCTTGTGCATATGCTTTGGCATTTGCACACTCCTTGCATTTGCATATTCACAACAATAAAATGCACATGGTTGTCATGGCAACAAACATAAAATTTGCAAATGCAATTCCAACTGAAAATCCCAGACCATTTCCACAACATCCTGAGCATCCTGTTTTTGTTTGAAGTCGATTGTGAATATTGTCTTTGACTGAACCAAAAAACCTCATTCAAAAGTTTTGAATCAAAACCATTAAAATTACGGCGCCCCAATATCAATTAAAAAAGGTTTTTAAATGCGAATTAAAGTTTTTTTTTGTATAAATATTCAAATGCTTTATTATATTTCTTATTTTTGGTAATGGACTTATAAAATAAAATTAAGCACAAATAAAAGTCTTAATTGATTTGCGATGCACAGCAGTAAGTAAAATTAAATATGAAAATTTTACAGAAGAAAAAATAATAATTTGCTATACTTATACATATAGTAAGTAGATATATGTACGCACATTTATACTTACATTAAAAAAAAAATATTCCGATGAATTGATAACCCTCTCCTTTTTTGAAGTCGGGTAAAAAGTAGCTACAAATGTTATTGAAACGTAATTATTTTTGTTTAAATAGATTAAATATGCGTGTAAATTTGAAATAATAACTTTGCTTTGTTGCGATATTTATTTTTTACAACGATTTTTCTGTGCTTTCGGTTTCGTGATGCATAATAGGGACGTTAAATTTAATTCTATATCGATGTTTTTTTTTTTTTGGTTTTTGGGCTTTTTTGTAATGTTTTTATACACGGTTCAAGACCTGAATAAAAAACCGGACTGGTTAATCGAAAACGGACTTTAAGCGAAGGATAACTCTTCTCAGCAGAAGCTACTTCGGGCTCAGTAGAAAATTAAATGGCAGAGGGAGCCTTCCCACCACCACCGGGTACCGCTTTACATCCTAGGTGAATTTGAAAAGTCGCTCTTTTTTTCAATAAAAGATATATTTTTCGACAAAAAATCATTTTATTTCTGAACATAGTCTCTTTATAGCTCGAGGCATTTCGACCAGCGTTTTTCCAATTTTTTAATTCCTTCAAAATAATACGTTTTAAGGTCCTAAAGGTAAGGGTTTGTTTCAGTGATAACCTCTTCATTCGGCTTAAATTTCATATCGTCCAGCCATTTCTTTGGGTTTTGGAAACAGGAAACTAACCGCTGGGAGCTAAGTCTGATGAATTTGGTGCATAGGATAGAAGTTCGTAGCCCAATTGATGGAATTTTTCAATAGTGACTACACACGTGAGTTGTGTATGTTCAGTATATAAGTCTAGCAAAGGTATTTTTGTATCAGTAAACTTGTTACATAAAAATATCTACAGCAACAATATTTATAAGTTAAAACTAATATCGTAGTAAGTAAACGGCATAATCTGTATGACTATAATCCACACAACTTAGTAAACATAATATAATAATAAAGATTAAACATAGCAAAACTAGAATTCATAGAATTATAGAAACATAATTTTTTATAGAATTGTAAAAATACATGTCTAGCGAAAGCTGTATTCTACGAAATTTGGATTAATATAGACTTGTCTTTTTCATAATACGGAAAAACTCATCCTGATTTACAACTCCATCATGATCCAGATCAGCTTCATCAATCATTTCACGCAACTCCTCATCGGTCAGCGTTTCGCCCAATTCGCGGGCAACGCGCTTTAAGTTCTTAAACGAAATTGACCCGGTGTTATCGTCATCAAAAAGGCGAAATGCTTTTAATATTTCTTCTTTGGTATCCTTCTCAGGCATTTTTATGGTCATCAATTGTAGGAAATCGTTGAAGGATATGCGACCAGTACCGTCCTTGTCAATTTCGACAATCATGCGCTTGATCTCTTCTTTCTTCGGCTGAAAGCCAAGTGCACGGAGGACAACCTTTAACTCTTTGACCTCTATAAAGCCGGTGCATTCGGTATCGAACAAGTCAAAAGCCTCCTTAATGTCGGCTTTTTGTCCTTCGCTGAGCTCGAACTTGGGGCCGGATTTCTTGCGCTGCGATGTCGACTGATTTTGTCGTTTGCCAGCGACATTCGTGGCCAAAGTCGCGGTCGACGTATTATTATGATCCATTTTTTCTCTTAAATTTGGAAATACTATTCATGAACGACTTCAATCGACAAATGAATATCAAGACAAACCGTTGGCTGTTTGGTTGCAATTAATTTATTTGTGAATAATAAACAACAACGACGTGTTGCTGTGACCACAGGCAGTGTTGCCAGAGAAAGTGTCCTAAAAAGCTTAATTTTTTCCAAAAAAAATCTTCAAAATAAGATTTTAAAGATAA